AGAACAACCACACCACCACCACCACCACCACCACCACCGCCACCACCACCAGCAACAGCAACAGCAACAGCAGCAGCAACAGCAACCAACAACAACAGCAACAGCAACAGCAACAGCAACAGCAACGACAAGGACAACGACAACGACAAGGACAAGGACAAGGACAACGACAACGACAACGACAACGACACCAACAACGACAGCGACATCGACAGCAACAGCAACAACAAAAACAACAACTACTACTACAACAACAACTACTGCAACAACAACAACAACAACAACAACAACAACAACAACAACAACAACAACAACAACGACAACGACAACGACAACGACAACGACACCGACAGCGACAGCGACAACGACAACAACAACAACAACAACCACGACGACGACGACCACAACAACAACAACAACAACAACAACAACAACAACAACAACAACACCAACAACAACAACACCAACACCAACACCAACAACAACAACAACAACAACAACAACAACAACAACAACAACAACAACAACAACAACAACAACAACAACAACAACCACAACCACAACCACAACCACAGCCACAGCCACAGCCACAGCCACAGCCACAGCCACACCCACAACCACAACCACAACCACAACCACAACCACAACCACAACCGCAACCGCCACCACCACCACAACCACAACCACAACCACAACCACAACCACAACCACAACAACACCAACACCAACACCAACACCAACACCAACACCAACACCAACACCAACACCAACACCAACACCAACACCAACAACAGCAACAGCAGCAGCAGCAGCAACAGCAACAGCAACAGCAACAGCAACAGCAACAGCACCAGCACCAGCACGAGCACCAGCGCCAGCGCCAGCACCAGCACCAGCGCCAGCACCAGCAACAGCAACAGCCACAGCCACAGCCACAGCCACAGCCACAGCCACAGCCACAGCCACAGCCACAGCCACAGCCACAGCCACAGCGACGGCGACGGCGACGGCGACGGCGACAGCGACAGCGACACCGACACCGACACCGACAGCCACAGCCACAGCCACAGCCACAGCAACAGCAACACAACAACAACAACAACAGCAACAGCAACAGCAACAGCAACACCAACAGCAACACCAACACCAACAACAACGACAACGGCATTGACAACGATAACGACAACGACAACAACAGCAACAGCAACAGCAACAACAACACCACCACCACCAACAACAACAACAACAACACCAACTCCAACACTAACACGACCACCACCACCACGAAGAACAACCGCAACAACCACAACAACAACAGCAGCAGCAACAACAACAACAACCGCAACGACAACACCGACAACGACAACCAGAACCACAACCAGAACCACAACGACAAGCACCGCGACGACAACCACACCGACAGCGATCGACTATGACCGCGCCACGACCACGACAACAACAACAACAACAACGACAACGACAACGACGACGACAGCAACAACGACAGCGACAGCGACAGCGACAGCAACAACAACAACAACAACAACAACAACAGCAACAGCAACAGCAACAGCAACAGCAACAACAGCAACAACAACAACCAAAAGCAAAAACAATCGCAAAAACAATCATAAACCCAAACACAAAAATTACACCAGCATAGACCCCAGATAGCACACCACGGATACGAACCATGACGCAGCATTATCATGATGATGTAGACCATGATGACACCACAGCCACGAAACAAACGCGCAGACAACGTCCTAATGAGATCAGCAGCATAATGATGATTTTGAGAGCAATCCGGCAGGAAAAAAGCAAAAACGAGGTCCTGATGAGTTCGACAGCATCATGATGATGCGGACAGCATCATGATGATGCGGACAGCATCATGGTGATGCGAACAGCATCATGCTGATGGTAAAGACAGCATCATGATGATACCACAGCCACGAACCATCTTGCGACAGCTTAATGAAATTCTGCATCATCCTGATGTTGACAGCATCACGGCGCCACTACGCCCACACACCATAACGTGGGAACATCATGACGATACACCAGGCACGAACCGTTACACGCGAACAGCATCCACCAGCACCCCAAACATGCCCCCTAGCACCCGGTACAACCAAAGCAGCATCCACCCGCGCCTCAAACTGCATGCCCCTTAGCACCCGGCCGTCAAGCTCGCAAAGCAGCATCCACCAGCACCCCAAACTGCATGCCCCCTAGAACCGGCCGTCAAGCTCGCAAAACAGCATCCACCAGCACCCCAAACTGCATGCCCCCTAGCACCCGGCCAGCTCGCAAAACAGCATCCACAGCAGCCCAAACTGCATCCCCCCAGCACCCGGCCGTCAAGCCCCGAAACTGCATGCCCCCGAGCACCCGGCCGTCAAGCTCGCCGGCCAGCTCGCAAACCAGCAGCCCCCCACCCGGCCGTCAAGCTCGCAAACCAGCACCCACCAGCACCCCAAACTGCATGCCCCCTAGCACCCGGCCGTCAAGCTCGCAAAGCAGCACCTCCCAGCACCCCAAACTGCATGCCCCCTAGCACCCGGCCGTCAAGCTCGCAAACCAGCACCCACCAGCACCCCAAACTGCATGCCCCCTAGCACCCGGCCGTCAAGCTCGCAAAGCAGCATCCACCAGCACCCCAAACTGCATTAGCACCCGGCCGTCAAGCTCGCAAAGCAGCATCCACCAGCACCCCACACTGCATGCCCCCTAGCACCCGGCCGTCAAGCTCGCAAAGCAGCACCCACCAGCGCCCCAAACTGCATGCCCCCTAGCACCCGGCCGTCAAGCTCGCAAAGCAGCACCCACCAGCACCCCAAACCGCATGCCCCCTAGCACCCGGCAAGCTCGCAAAGCAGCACCCACCAGCACCCCAAACTGCATGCCCCCTAGCACCCGGCAGTCAAGCTCGCAAAGCAGCATCCACCAGCACCTCAAACTGCATGCCCCCGAGCACCCGGCCGTCAAGCTCGCAAAGCAGCATCCACCAGCACCTCAAACTGCATGCCCCCCAGCACCCGGCCGTCAAGCTCGCAAAGCAGCATCCACCAGCACCTCAAACTGCATGCCCCCTAGCACCCGGCCCTCAATCTCGCAAAGCATCCACCAGCACCTCCTAGCACCCGGCCCTCAATCTCGCAAAGCAGCATCCACCAGCACCTCAAACTGCATGCCCCCTAGCACCCGGCCTCAATCTCGCAAAGCAGCATCCACCAGCACCTCAAACTGCATGCCCCCTAGCACCCGGCCGTCAAGCTCGCAAAGCAGCATCCACCAGCACCTCAAACTGCATGCCCCCTAGCACCCGGCCCTCAATCTCGCAAATCACTTTCCCCTCTTTATTAGAAGTTAGAACCCCTATAGCTTTCAGCTATCTGGGGAAAAAACAACAACAAAAACAACAAACAACAAAAACAACAACACACAAAGACAAAGCCAAAGACAAAAACAAAAAACAAAAACAATAACAATAACAAAAACAAAGCCAACGACAACGACAACGACAACAACAACCACCACCACCACCACAACAACAACACCACCACCAACAACAACAAGAACAAGAACAACAACAACAACAAGAACAACAATAACAACAAGAACAACAAGAACAACAAAAACAACCAGCAGAAGAAGAAGAACAAGAACAAGAACAACAACAGCAACAGCAACAGCAACAGCAGCAGCAGCAGCAGCAGCCACAGCAGCCACAGCAGCAACAGCAGCAACAGCAGCAACAGTAACAGCGACAGCAACAGCAACAGCCACGGCAATTGCAACAGCAATTGCAACAACCACAGCAGCAACAATAACAACTACTACAACAACATCATCGGCAGCAGCAACAACAACCACAATCGCAAGAACGACGACGACAACGAGCACGACGATGACGACGACAGCAACAACGACTACAACCGCAGCAACCGCAGCAGAAGCAACAACAACCACAGCAGAAGCAACCGCAGCAGAAGCAACAACAACAACAACACCAACACCAACGCCAACACCAACACCACCACCACCACCACCACCACCACCAACACCACCACCACAACAACAGCAGCAGCAGCCGCAACAGCAACAGCAACCGCAACGGCAAAAGCCACAGCCACTGCCACAGCCACGACCACCACCACAACCACAACCACAACAACAGCGACAGCAACAGCAGGAGCAATAGCAGCAGCGTGAACAGCAGCAACAGCAGCAGCAACACCACCAATAGCAGCAGCAGCAGCAACAGCGGCAGCAGCAACAGCTACCACTACTGCTGTTGCTGCTGCAGCAGCAGCTGCTAAAATCACTGCTACTTACTACACACTATAACTAGAACGGGAACTACCACAACCACAGCAACTACACGCGCTGCCGCCCCAGAGCCACACCCCATCACTGGTTTACGTGGCCCTGTGGCCAACTTAGCTGCTTGCGCTCCCTCGGTCTAGTTGCTTGGTCCTGCATTCGAGCCTTCCGTCGAGGAATTGTTCAATTAGCTGCGCAGCCCAGTCTCAGCTAAATCCTCGACATGACCAGCCTGAGCAGGCGAGCGAGCTGTTCCAACAGTTGTCCAGCTATGTCCAGCCCAAATTGATCTTCAACTCGCGCTGGTCCAAATGTCCATGTGTTCAAGGCTACAATTGAAAAGGCCTTTCCACCGCGACGTCTCCGCAAGTTTGTGATTATATTGGCATGCCATATGCGCAGGAGCCCGATGAAGGCCAGGGCAGCTATGTGGAGTGGAAATCCCTTGTTGTTTTTGTGTGTTTTGCCACTCTGACGTTTGGATCGCCTGGATGCGGTTGGCCCCTTGGCCGTGCCAGGAGGAGAAAAAGGTAAGGAAGCGGCAGAAGAAAACCACGACGAGGCGGGTCTTGATGGTGGTTCTTTGCGGAGCATTGGAAAGGCAAAGCATAAGGGCAAACTAGTGATAGAATATGTTCATGCTGATTCGTACAACCACTGACTTTGAACCGATGCAACGTGACCATAGCGCACGGGTTCTGGAGGCTGAGGCTGCCCAGAAGAAGAAGAAGAAGCGTGAGGTACTGAGCAAAAGCTGCAGACAATCTGCAAAACAGCTGCGTGTTCCTTGAGCTTTCTGTAGCAATCTTACTGTTTATACTATTTAGAAACATGGAGCCATTCATTGAATGTAGGAAAAACTGGGGCTGCCGAAGACAAGGCCGAGGCGCGGCGCCTGAAAAAGAAAACGCAGAGATATGTGCAGAGATGTTAGTTGAGCACACGCGCGGGAGCGCGATCCAGTTTGCAAGCAGCTCTATGTTCAACTACCCCTCTCATTTGTGACTCCAATCAGGCAGAAGAGCAGCAGGCTGAAGAGCTGGAGCAAGAACAAGAACAAGCCGAGGCAAGGTGAGCATCTGCTTCGAGACAAGCGACTCCGTGTATTTGATGCTAGCGACGTAGGATGCAGGAGATCTTAGCCAGGACTCAGGCAAGCGGCGCACCCTGTTCAACTTGCAAAACTGTGGCTTGAGGTATGTACAGCACAGAAGGAGAGGGGGAGGACTGACGGCCATGTGACCGGAAGTTGCCCTTGCACCCTTACAGGCAGCACATCGACTAATCAAACATTTGTTGCATGTGTTGCATTTGTGTTGCATGTGTTGCGTTTGTTCTTGCCAGGACGAGCCTGATGAAGCAGAGCTTGCAGGCGCCGAAGCGAAGGCGCAAGAGTTCAGGTTGAGATGTGTCCTTCCGTCCTTCCAGCTGTTTCTTGAGGGCGAGATGAAGGAAGATGTAGACGATGTTCAGGCTGACAGTCAGCGCAAGGACGGATACGACAAATGCTCAGCCATGCAAATAGTTGTGGAGGATGATGACCAAAAGGAGAAGGATGAAGGAGATGAAGATGAGGGGAAAGATGAAGAGGAGAAAGACGATGAAGATGAGGGCGAGGAGGCTGCAGGGTTCACTGGTGCAGTTTCTTTGTTTGGCAAGCACGCAAAGTTCCAAGTTCAAGAACCGCCTTGAGAATGTTCAGCCACTTCTTCCTGGGCCATGTTGACCGCACAAGCGAGAGAGGCGTGTTTTGCGGCAGGCACTCAGAGTGCGGCTGTGAGGGGTTGGCAATATCCGATTGCTTCAGGACAGCGAGGAGCCAGAGAAGGCCGGTCTTGTCCCATCTTCCGTGCCCTGCTTCGCAACGCTTTGCAGGGAGACACAGGAGGAACAGCAATGAAGCTTGAGGCCATGTTTGGCAGGATGCAAGCTGCATTGCTCCTGAATAGCTGCAACATGCTACAAACACTCAGTAATATTGCTTTTGAGGCAACAGAAGCAGTCGGTTTGCTGCCAGTTGGCCACTGTTCCATCAAAAGCTTTGCAGGCAGAGGAAGCGGATGATGAGGATGGCGGATCTGGAGGCACTGAGGCCTAACATGGTTGCTTTTGTCGATGCGAACCCAAGGAAAGCAGAAGAAGCCACAGAAAAAGACCAAGCTGATGAAGGACAAGACTCCGGCACTTCGATAGCACTATTTGTTGCATAGGATATGTTTGGGCAGCATATGTACAAGGTAGCCTTGAAGTCAAGTGCTACAGCTGCTACAGTGTCTGCCGCGATCTTGGAACGCGAGTGCATCAGAGCGCACACCGGCATGCCTCAAGCTGCTGGTTGACAGCAGGTTTCCCCGCGACGCGTAGGTGAAATCGGGCGAAGCACAGTATCTCACTTTGTGAGCATGCTTGAAACATAGAGAGGCATGAGCCTAGGGCGACCACCTTGAAGCACGGAAGCAAGCGGAGCAGGACTTGCGAGAGGCCACGACTCTCCATTTTTAGGCCCTTTGGTAGCATGACGGATCCTGTCACAAGGCTTTGAACTCTGGCCAAATGCTTTGGAGCTCACCACTGAGAGGCAACACGCCATGCACCTAGCTGGTTTGAACCATAAAATCAGCCTTTCATGACCGGCGTGGGGCAGAGACGAGCTGCTACCGGATATTTAGCTTGGCTGGCCGAGAGCGCATGGACTGTCGGGCGCCGTGAGGTTGTCACTGATCGTAAGCCACCAACACAGCCAGCGCAGCTCCTAGTTTTAGATTGTGCCGCGCAGCCTCTACCGCAAGCGCACGACTCTTGCAAGTGAAATTTCCGTCGGCATGTCGACGCACTGACACAGCCAGCTTTTGGCAAGGTGTGCCCACAGCCTTTTCGTGGGCGAGGCAGGCCGTGGCTGAACCTGCCATTCTCGCTCGGTTTCTGGGCTTTGAGAGGTGTACGTGTGCACAGCCCGACAGGTCTTGCGCGGCATTCTGGAGTCTTCCGAGCTGCAGGACGATGTTCAGCAGCGAGAAATGCACTGGTAGAAATAATGTGTTGTCCCAGTAAGTGCAAACAGCGGCTGGGCGAAGCAAAATCAGCACACTGGTTGAAAGAGGTTGCCAGTATAAGCAATCAAAGAAACACACACACAAAGCAGGCAGCAGACATGGAAAGCCGCACCTGCTCGCGAAGAACACGTCAAGCGGCGGCAACCAGGCCAAATGCAAACAAAGGGTCACGAAGAGCCGGATAAAGCAAATACCAGCAGATTGACTAAGACGGGCACTCGAGTCAATCGCTAAGTTGAATTACCAAATGCGTTGTGGGCTGCCGCTGCATTGTACTGTAATTGTATTGACATTCAAGCGCCTGCGATGTGCACAGAACCGGTAAGACATAATTATTCAGCAGCGTGATCCTGGTGTTGGGCTCAGGTACGCATAGGCGCCTTAAAAGTTGTTGTTTGAGATTTGGCCTTTTGATTTGTTGGCATCCCAGCTTCCCTTCTTGGTTCAATCAAGGCTGTTAGCTGTTTTAACTTGTGACTCCGGGCCTGCTGGTCAACAAGTTTACAAAGTGATGCGGTTGGTGTCACAGATGATATGTGCTCCACGCAGGACCCTGCCTGCGCTGGAGTCAAAGATGTCCACGTCAAAATTGACGGCGAGCAGGCACCGACGTACCGGAGTCGCAATTGTTCTCAATGTGAGAAAGCGCGTCGTTTTGTTGAAACATCATGGAATCGGATTCCCGAGCTACCGTAGGTTTCCCAATCAAGTCTGGGGTGAGCAGGACATAATTGAAGGCGTGGTCGACCTTGGCAGGTAGCCCTAGAGTGCGAGGGGATCAACCTTTTCGCTCTTCAAGCTCTCCCAGCAACTCTGGCGCAGCTCCCAGATTTGTAGCTGGTGCTTGAGGGGAAAGGCATTGACGGCATCGAATTTCATGAGTTACCGGACATCTGAATGGCACGAGCCACATGGGGAGGAGGACAAACCGAGAAACATAAGACTCACCAGGCAGCAGAGGGGAAGGAAACAAGAGAGAGAGAGAGAGAGAAAGAGAGAGAGAGAGAGAGAAAGAGAGAGAGAGAGAGAGGGAGAGAGTGGCCAAGAGTGTGCTTAAGGTGGTTCAATCGCTGGCTTGCGTACTTTCCGAGCCCTAGTTTTGCTCAAGAGCGCCCCAAGATCTACGCGTGAGAGCGGTTGCGGCGAGAAACGTGACAAACGGCATTGAAAGAGACACGGCCTGCGACATTTCTAAGAGACCCAGCGGCAAAACGTTTGACAAGATACGTGGTGAAAGACATGACGCGAGGCGTCGCGAAAGACTTAACGAGAGACGCGGCCGGAAACGTTGTTGAGAGGTGATGAAACTAAGCGCTTTCAGAAAGTGAATTGCATTCGGGTTCGTGGGCTCTTCTCGTTTAGTTGTTTTCCAGTCTGGGGCCTGTTGCCTGCAATCCAGTAACGCGATTCTTTTGGCCCGCAAGAAAGACTACAGCTCACACCTGTCAGCTGTACGCGTCACCCCCCCCCGCCCCCGGGACAGCTGTTGGGAGTTAACCCCCACCTTTCCCCTTCATTTTTCACGCGCCCGCCCCACGTTTCGGTGCACCTGTTTCTGCCATTACAGCAATTTCCAGCAGGTACCCGTCACTGACAAATATTAGCTGCAAAGATCTGCGAGGACTACAAGGGTAAGGAACAAGAAACTGCCGGGCCCTGCTCGCTGTCACCGATCTGGGGCCTCTGTATTTGTTCTGACGAGGCAGTTTGTTCAGTTTCTTCGTATCCAGCTCAAACGCCTCAAACAAGTTGTTCGGAAACACGTGACGACTTGCTTCTGTTGTGCGGACAGGCTTTGCGTTTTCCTTTCTCAACATGTGTCGATTCTGGTAAGTGGTCCGTGTTATGTTCAGGTGAATCACTGCAAGATCTACACCAATGACATCAGGAACCGTTCCCGTTTTGTTGCTGCTGCGAGACGTGCGCAGTTTCAGCTGGCTGCAACTTAAGGAAAGTCCTTGGGCTCTATGGAGTGGAAGCGGCTCGGGCATCCGTGGCAGTCCCAGTGAAAAGGCAGTTCCTTGCCAAAGCCGTGCGAGCTGTCCGAGTTTGATTCACACCCACAGTTTTCTGATTTCTGTTTGCAGTCATCTGACGAGATGGTTTTGGTCAGGCTGTGATGTTCCCTATTTTTGCTGTTAAAACATAAGTGAATCTTGCACATTGCAGAGGAGCTTTTGATAGCGCGCCAGATTTCACGCTAGGTCGTGCAAGAAGTCAAAAATGTCTTCGGGCATTACGGCATCCAGGCCAGCTTGTTACTCCCAGCCTGGCCCTGAGTCTTGACAGCCTCAGCCAGGTGAACCACCGGCATTTGGCACTCATTGCAGACTATATGGCACAAGGAGGAGATTTGCGGGCGTGGCCCTGGCCAGTTTGTCACGCTCTGGCGCCCGGCAGAACATGTTGTAGATGCTCTGCGTGGTAGATGCGTGGGCCACTGTCGCAATTGTCACAGAAAGACTTGTTTGCGAGGGCGACATTGCTGAGTTTGGGCATTCACTTCCCTGGGCTTTGAGCTGGTGGTCAGGTTCAATCGCCTGGGGATGATCCACTGTGCGGGACTTGACCACACATGCTGGAGGGCTTGTTTTGTTGTTGAGGTTGCTGCTGTTGCTGCTGCTGTTGTCGCTGTTTGACATGCTGCTTGTTGGGCCGGATCACGTGACCACACGCGCGGTTTCTTGCAGCGAATGTCAACACACTTTGCAGTATTGCCAAGTTGCAGAGGAGGGTATCAATGAGCACTGGCATAGTTTTTGCTGTGCCCATAGGGCTCGCGCCGAGTAACAATGTAACAACAAGCCCAGCCAAGCCCCGCATACGGACTCCGCGGAAAAGCAGCTCAACCCAGAATGTACAACCTGAACACACTCGCAGTGTGATTCAGATGTTAGAAAGGCGGTTTTCCCTGGCAGGGCCTCATGAACCTAGCGCAGCCGGGCAGTAAGTGGCGCAAGCAAGCCAAAACGCTCATCAAAGCAGCTTGCTATCTTCTTCCGGGCGCGTTCGTGCAACATGCAGCATCATGGATCTCCAGCTATGCCATGAACCATGTGAGGCATGTGAGGCATGTGAGGCTTGCAAGGCTTGCAGTTTTCAGGTCCTTCACCTCTTCTTCAGATGTCCTACGAGACGACCATGCAATTTCTGTCAACGGCCTGCCAGGCCGGCTGCCAGCTCACATAGCCAAGCATGAGGCATGCGGGCAACCGTTGTCCTGCTTGGCTTCGTTTTGATTTCTTCTGTGGTTCTGCGCACCTAAGGAGGGCCTGCTGGACAACATGACATCTCCTGCTAGTGCCATCGTGCTTGGCAAGCCCCCAGAAGTCGGCACAGGTATGGCTGGAGTCCCAGTTTGTGGATCACGTGGATTTGTGATTGAGTGAAAGCGTCTTCAGAAGCAGTGCTACCTTAGTACAAAGATGTCTTTGTGAAATTGCGAAGGTAAACTTGCTAGTGGACTTGGATCCACCTGCGCGGCGCCTAGAATTGGTGGAAAGGTTGCATGTAGACAGTGCGGGCCGCATGAGATCAAGTCCGACTGGAATTGCCCCAGACCGATAAGCTTGACACTGAGCAGCGAGGAACCTCCGTGGAAGAAACAAAGAAAGTTTGACTTCTGAGACGCTTTAGTCTCATAGCGCCTTGTGCTGCGTGAGCGAGCGAGAGAGAGAGAGAGAGTGAGAGGACAAGCCGAATTGGGATGTTTGGACTTTTGGTAGCAGCATGAAGCTCAAATAATGTTTGAGACGATCCAAGAACTTGTTGCACATTTTGTAGCTGCTTGTGAACATCTGTTGTGAAATCAACTAGCAAGCACTGCGGCTACAGCTCACTGTGTAGCATAGGACGGTGCTTGTGCTCAGCCAAGAGCATTGTACATATTTGACGCTAAACCCAAAGCAATAGTGGACATTGCGCGGAGCGTGTCTACTTGCGCAAAATTAGACTGTTGTTTCGAGACATTGAAATTGATCATATGAATATGAATATATAATTGGATGAAGGAACATATTATATAAGCTACTTGGTGTATTTGATGAATAAATTAATCGAGGAGAATGAAGGAGAGTAGACCTAAAGGAAAGAAATGAAGGAACACATGAATGATGGAATGTAGGAATAAAGACACGAAGGAACATTCCTTCATCCCTTCATTCCTTCGTTCCTTCCTTCCTTCCTTTCTTCCTTCCTTCGTTCCTTCGTTCCTTGTTATTTCGTTCCTTCATCTTTTCTTCCTTCACTGCTTCACTCTTTCATTTCTTCCTTCATTCCTTTGTTCCTTCATTCCTTCGTTCTTGCGTTCCTTCATATTTTCTTCGTTCACTCCTTCACCCTTTCACTCCTTCCTTCATTTCATTATTGCTTCATTCCTTCCTTCCTTCCTTCATTCCTGCATTCCTTCCCGCGTCATTGCATGATTCCTACAGTCCTTCATTCATGCCAAGGGGCGAAGGAGTGAAGGGATGAAATAAGAGAGGAACAAACGGACATGAGACAAAATGAGTTGAAGTTGAGTTGAGATTGGGTTAACTTTGAGTTGAGCTGAATTGGATTGAAGTGGACAGTTTTGACATTGAAATTGAAACTAATGTTGAAATTGGATTTATGTTGAACAAATGAGTGACTGTCGGAAGCTGAGCTGCTGGGTGGTTTGGCAGGTTGCCAGTTTGCTACGTGCACTTTCAGGGCTTGGCGCGAAAGGCAACCGTGAGTGCTGGTCCTGTGTGCCTCGCACGCACCAGGCCTCGCAGTTGGCCACGTGGAGCCAACCCAAGGACTCACATTGACATGGACTCGCACGTGCCTCGAGTTCCCTGGCCACGCGGGCCCAGCGGCTTTGGTCGCTGCTCGTCGGCTTACTTGCTTGCCGGTTCGCTGGCTTTCTTTTTCGCTCACTTGCTTGCGTCCTTGCTCGCCTTCTTGCTCTCGTGACGTCGTGTTCTTAATTAAATATATAAACTTCAGGGCGGCTTGCTCCCTTGGTTGGCTTGCTTTCGCCCATTAGGGCCCGCTGTTGGCAGGCTGTGCTGCTCATTGTTCCAGCCCCCTGCGTGTGCCCTCGCCGTCATGTTGCTTTTTGCCTGGCCTAAGCTCTTAGCCAGCTGTATTGCCTGTTAATTGGCTCACGTGTTTGGACCGTTCCCCGGTTCTAGGAGCATATATTTCAGGCCTGCCAAACCATAGCCTATCACTGCTCCTGCCTGGGGCCCGAAGAAAAGGATAGAAACGCTCAAAGAAGAAGACAAATAGGAACACATAAAGTTAGCAATGCACGCGAAAACAAGGATCGCCATCGTCGTCGCCGTTCTCTTCTGCTGTTGTATGTATAGATATTCCTTACCAAGATGATGATCATGATGATGACTGCAGCCCCAGGAGTACCCCAATGGGGATGGCAACAATTGCGCCCACAGCCTCTCACATGCTGAGCGACAGTGACGCCGCCGCACCAACTGATGATCATGATGATGATGATGATGACGATGATGATGATGATACTGATGATAATTACTGATGATTCCCACAATGATGACGATGATGATGCTGATGATGATGGCGCCCCCAGCATTGCAAGCGGCCCAAGACCATTCTCCAAAAGAATGACAACGATCATGATGTTTGATTATCATTTTGATGGTGATCACAGTGAGCTTGCCATGATGTTTTTCGCGCTCAGCATTGCATGCCCTGCCCAACGTTGACGTCCAAAATGTAAACCTGCAATGCGAGAGTACACACAATACAAGAGTACAAGAGAACGATGCCGGCGATGATGATCATGATCTCTATGATGAGAATCATATTGATCATGATGACCTACAATGACGAGTGTAATTTGGGAAAGTGGCGCCCCCAGCATTGCTCATGACGACAACGCCAATGGAATGGTTTGATGCCTTACCGTGACGATGAACATGATGATTGCATCCCCAGCAGCGCTGACGACGACAACGCCAATTTGGGAATGAGCAAGCGCAAACCAGCGTGGATTCTCCAGGACGATGATGATGATGATGATGATGATGGTGGTGACAAAGATGATGATAATGAGATGATGACGAAGATGTTTTTGATGATGAAGATGGCTTTCCATGATGCGGATAATGAAGAAGATGACGATGATGATGATGATGATGATGATGATAGTGATGATGATTGCACCCCCAGCATTGCCTAACGTTGCATCAAACATGTAAAGTGTGCAAGAGAACGATGCCGGCGATGATGATCATGATCTCTATGATGAGAATCACAATGACCATGATGACCTACAATGACGAGTGTAATTTGGGAAAGTGGTGCCCCCAGCATAGCTCATGACGACAACGCCAATGGAATGGTATGATGCCTTACCGTGACGCTGATCATGATGATTGCATCCGAGCAGTCAACGCCAATGGGACAGTGTGAGCAAGCGGAAGCAAAGGCCGTGGGATTCCCCAGACACGTTGGCAAGTGTTTCTTCCCTCTTCCGGTTGGCGCGCCCCGCGTTGCAGCGCTGTTGCTTGCCGGGTGCTGGGCGGTTGCTTCTTTGCCGGTTGGTTCCTTTGCACGTGCGGGTGGCTAGAATCGGTCGACGAAAGCGTCGACAATCTGTCTAAGATCATGATCACGTTGTTGGGGGTCCGGGGGCGGGATAGATCAAGGTATTAGGGTTGATGGTCAGTGTGCGTTTGGGAGTTCTCCCCCGAGCCACTGAATTGACTGCGCTCATGGTGGTGAAGGAGGGTTTTGAATTAATAGTCTCGCCCAGGGACGGCCGCATAACGGTTGCTGCGGCGTTCGCGAAGCGTGTAGGCTAGCTCGGCCTGGGCCGTGTAAATCATGGCCTGAGCTAGCGCTGATGGTCTGAGAATTCCGAGAGTTGTGTTATCGCGTGTTGTCGCAGAAGGTCGGCGATGCCCACTCGGTAGGTGGTGCCGGAGCCTGTGGTGCCGTAAGGTGGGCAATTGGATCGAATCTGAATTACGCCGGGTACCCCAAGTCATTTGCAGTTTTGCCGCACTGCGCGCTGTTTTTCTATGATGTGCCATGTTGGCAATATTAGCATTTCCTGGATGGATGGGGCTGTGGGGTGAGGTTCACAACGCATGTGATGTAATTACTGTAGCTTTCTTTGTGGCTCATAGACGACATACCGGAACTCAATATGGCGCCAGACAAAGAGGAGCACAGCGGCAGGGCTGTAACGGGCGAAAAAAATGATCGTGTGTTTGCAGGGTGGCACAAGTATGTGTTAAGCTGCTTTCAAAGGCTTGATCGATTCGACTTGTGCACGTACAACCTGCGGGCAGCCTTGTTCATGTCTGGTTGCCACACGCACTGCGCGAGTGTGGCATAAACCAATTCATGTTTTGTTGCAGCAGGAAGCTGCGGACACTCATGGCTCCTTCCTGTCAACCTCGCATTTGGTATGCAGTCTCAGCCACTTGTTTGTGGTTGCCATTGCAGTTACCAACTGCTGCCATATGTTTCGTCGCCAGCCACTTGATAATTTGATGCCCAAGGGGGTATTCCCATGTTGTTTTTCAATACGTTGGGAGCAAAAAGTGTGACCCAGACACCAGGTGAAACACTGACCAGCCAACAAAAATTGCAGCTTCGTGACACAACAAGCCCATGCCCGGAGACAAAGATTTCCGCATCCTGTTGCATACCAAAAGCGTCTTTCCGTTGTTGATTGAGGGGGCAACACACTTTCAATGCAATGCCCACTCCAGGCAGTGTGAAACCCGTCCTTGTAGCAACGCGTTGGCAAGGAGCAAAATGACGCCAATGCAAACCTGTCCTACTCACACATGGTCTTGCTGCAGCACATCCTGGAATGCCGGCTGTGTTTGCAGGCACTCCATGTCGTGGAGTGAGAGATCGTATGTTGCTGCTTGGGACAGAGTTGCCATGCCAACCATGTGCTTTTCACATCAAGGCAAGATCCATTTTTAGAGTTTGAAGATGTACATGAGATGCACAAGGTGTACATACCTGTGTGCTGTTTACAGCTCGATGGTGAGGCGGCAGTGTAAAGTGAAGGTTCTGGTTCCCTCGCCTGTCTGCTTGTGCGTTCATGCCTGCGTGTTTGGTTAGTTGGCAGTTGGTTGGTTGGTTACTTGGTTAGTTGGCAGTTGGTTGGTTGGTTACTTGGTTGGTTGGTTGGTTGGTTGGTTGGTTGGTTTTCTGGCTGTCTTTGGCTGTCTCTGTCTGTCGCTGTTTGTCTCTAATTGTGTCTGCCTGTGTCTGGTTTGTCTCTGTCTCTGTTTCTCTCTGGTCTGTCTCCGCCTGCGCTGCCTGCGCTGCCTGCGCTGCCTGCGCTGCCTGTGCCTGTCTGTGTCTGTTTGTGTCTGCCCGTGTCTGTCTGTCTGTGTCTGTTTGTGTCTTCTGTCTTTCTGTCTTTCTGTCTTCTGCCTTTCTGCCTTTCGGTCTTTCTGTCTTTCTGTCTTTCTGTCTGTCTGCCTGTCTGTCTGTCTGTCTGTCTGTCAGCCAGCCGTTTTGAGTATTGTTTTTGCCACTCCGACTCTGCTTTGTTCTGCGTGTCTTTTTGGTTGGTGCTGACTTGTGAAGTTGTGGGGCGCACTAGGTTCAGGGAGCCAAGCAGCATTGTTAACGTGTGATGCTCATTGCC